GCCAGCACCCGGCCTCGGCTGCGCTCGCGATTGTTTCGCCTTCTCTTTCGAAATGCCTGGGTCCTTGCCCCGCTTCCTTTCTCGGATCAGCCTAGGCGGACTTGGCCTGGCTGCTCTGCCCCCTGCGCGCCTTTGCAGCTCCGGCCCGCCGGCCCTTCTTGGCTTGGCTGCCCACCCCAACCCGCTGGCCTCGCCGCACCCCGCTACGGGCTCGCGCCCCCCCACCCCCGGATCCCTGCCGCGAAGCCCGGTTCCCGCTTTCCCACGCGTCCCTGTGCCCCCTATCCGTGCGGGCAGCCTCCGGGTCCTCTGCCCAGTCTCACTTCGCTCTCACCTTCCAGAACCAGGGACCCTTGCCTCACCTGCATCCTCTCGGTCACCTGTCAGAGTGGGGGAAATGAAAGGCAGAGCTGGATTGGGAGGGGTCTGGGGGCCTTTTGAATGGACACAGTAGTCAGAGCAAACGCAGGAAATGAGGAATGAAATTGAAACTTTGACGACCATCCCGGTTCTCCACATCTGGACACTGACCCATTTCTGCTTCGGGGTGTCTCTCTTCAGGGACCCTCTATCTCGTGTCTCCCTCTCCGCCTTCCTTAGGACCACCATACACAACTAAAAGGATGCTTTTTTGAAATACAAAGGATGGGGGAGAGCACTGGTTTCATTAAGTAGCGACAATGAATCCGGTTTCCAGGTGTGAACTGAAAATAGACACCATAAAGTAGAGCGATTGAGGAACCATTGTGGAGCCCCCCCCGCCCCCCCCCCGTGCCCCGTCAGCACCTCCATTTTACTAATTGAGTTGACCTTGGGCAAATCATTTCACTTCAATGTCTCCTTCCACTTCTGTAAAATGTGAGTACTAGGATTTCTTGCTGATGGAATTGCTTAGGATTACCCCAGGTTGTGTTTATGGGTCAGCCTGATACACTCGGCTGTACTGGTGCTGCCCTTTCTGGGAGAATGAGGTGTGTCTACTCACCTGCGCTGTTCTGGAGGTGGATCTGTGAGGCCACTGTCCGGTCTTCTACTTCTACCCCAAATACCTCCCGTCTCCCAGTGCTGCTTCAGTCAGGCACCCACCTGTGGGCTACCCAGCTTTTCCCATGACTGAATGTTCTCTTCCTTTAAAACATCTTCCTTCTCTGCGAGGCCTGCTTTGTATTAAATTCAATTAATGATATGTATTAACGTTGTAGTAGAAATTCTAAGGCCTGATTTCTAAAAGGTGAAACAAGCAAAAATTCAGTCTCATAAACACTTGGTCCTTGGTGAGTGTCAGTATTTATAAATTAAGGTTTTTTTTTTTAACATCTTCTCTAGATTCTGTGTTTATGTCAGACACGCCTAAACATTTTAAAAAGAAAGGTCTTAAGAAAAGTCTAGGAATATATTGGAGGATAGTGGGTTTGTCTCTGTTGTCACGTGTCCCCTCCCCTTTTCTAATTGCCTTTTTTCTTCTTCCTTAACATTGATACAATCTCTTACATTCTTCCTCTTGCCCTCAGAAAGCAACATGTTGATTTCTTTTTATGGCATTAGGGTTTATTGCAGCCCAGATGAAGCTCTTCCCTCCCATTGAGCTAGGATTTGTTGCTAATAAAATACCAAATATTAATAGTGTTAGCTTATGTTAATTGAAGCTTACTTTGTGACAGAGGTGGACATTTATTTGTATTATCTGACTTAATCCTGTCAGCAATCACCATTGTCCCCATTTTTATAGAGGAACAGGCTACAGCTGAGAGATTTGTTCATCCAAGTTAGCTATAGAGTGTTTACTGTCCACATGAAATTGTCATCTTATAATAAAGTTTGCAATCGTTTATTTTCATTGGTCATTAGTCAAGAATTGGTCACTTGATTATATACCTACGGCCCATAACCAGGGCAGGTTATGGTCTTTACCTGTTTGTAGTTCAGTAAGAAGAGAGTCTGTAGAAAAAAAAAAAAAACAACTAACAATTCAAAACAGTATATAATTGGGTGTTTTTGTTATAGTTCTGTTGTATCTCCCCCCCCCCCTCCAAGAAACCAACTTTCAGGTAGGGGAGGGATTATTCCTGTCCTTGGACTGATGTTCTGATGTTCTATCCTAGAGGTTCTATAAATACTTGCTGGATTTTGAGAGGAAGCTGCAACACAGATCTGGAGGAGCATCAAAATATGAGGGATTTGGGTTGAGATGACCAAGAATGTTACTTGGCTTAGTGGTTAGTGCTTAGCAGTGATTCTCAACCAAGGACAATTTCCATTACGTGCCCACCCCCCAGTTTTTGGTTGTCGCAGGTGGAAGGGGGCTGCTTTTCTCACAGGGTGAGGTGTGGGGGGAATGCTACTCATTGCCCCGCAGCACAGTACAGCCCCCCAGGAGGAATTATCTGGCCCCAGATACCTGTAGGGCTGCAGCTGACAGACAACTGAGTTATCCAACGCAGTGCGGAAACCATGCATTTGGCTTGACTCAGAGTAGTACAGCTTTAGGTGTAAACCCCCCCCAAACTACTTCGGATTTGGAGTCTGATTACATTCTTTGCCTCCTTTCTCTGAAAAATGACCCAGTAAGTAAGCAATAGAGTCCCAAGGATGAAACTGAATGAATTCATTGAATTGAGGCTGGCCATTTAGTTACTGAATTAAGGGTTTTGATTTTTCAGTGTATCATATTCAAAGCAGGAATTTGTAATTATCCAGAATAATTACAAATATATAAAATATAAAATATTCTCTGTGGAAAATAC